ATTTGATTTACACAACCTGCCTACCACTTTAAAGTTGCAAAATATTTTTGATCATGATACAAACAAAAAAAAGAAAACTTGAGCGTGCATAAGGATTCACCCCCCTAAGTCAATACTATGTTGAGCCACATTTTGCAGCAATTACAGCTGCAAGTCTCTTGGGGTATGTCTCTACAAGCTTGGCACATCTAGCCACTGGGATTTTTGCCCATTCTTCAAGGCAAAACTGCTCCAGCTCCTTCAAGTTGGATGGGTTTCACTGGTGTACAGCAATCTTTAAGTCATGCCACTGATTCTCAATTGGATTGAGGTCTGGGCTCTGACCAGTTCATTCCAAAACATTTAAATGTTTCCCCTTAAACCACTAAAGTGTTGCTTTAGCAGAATTCTTAGGGTCAAGGTCCTACTGGAAGGTGACCCTCCTTCCCAGTCTCAAGAATGTCCCTGCATTTAGCACCATCCCTTCAAATTCTGACCAGTATGCCAGTACCTGCTGATGAAAAACCTCCCCACAGCATGATGCTGCCACCATCATGCTTCACTGTGCATATGGTGTTCTTGGGATGATGAGGTATTGGGTGAATTTTAAATACTTTCACTTGCAAAGCATTCACTTCCTCCATTAAAAGGGCAAAATGACTTCAGTTTGGCAAAGCAATGCACACTGGGATTGCCTTGTCATCAGAGCATTGCTGGGAAATCTCATCTGTAATCTCAGGATATCTCAGGGAAAGGAATGTTTCCCCCCTGAGATGATATGCATTGTCACATGTCCTAGTCACATATGCCAGAAATCGAGGAAGTAAAAGGAGAGCCGTCATCTGCCCTTAGTAAACATGGCCAATGTCAGAAGTCTGGCAAAGAAAAAATAAATAAGGTATGCAAAGAATAAAAAGCCTGCAATTATCTAGAAGTATGTGTTTGTAGATTGTCATTACTAAACATTTCTAAAAGGCATGTTTGTTATTTTAACGATACGGGTAAAGGTCTGCTTTAAAGTGGGTTAAAAAAAAAAAGCTGGCTCCGCACATGCCATATATACTATTTTTGTCAAAAGTCATAGACATTTACAAATAAAACTGGGAAACAAACACAGAATGTAATTTTTATTTAGAAACATCAATTACAGGATACTTTTGAAAAGCAGAAACCAAAAATATTGATATAAGAACCACAATTATGAAAACGTATTTTCAGGTGACTTGGACCACCACTAGAGGGCACCAACCGTGCATTCAAACAGAATAATAATAACAAAAAGAAAAAGAAAAAATGATAGTGAAACCATAACTTATATATTGTTAAAGGCAATAATGTGATGGTCTGGAATATTTAAAATACATGCTGTTGGGGAGTAGCAGACACTGCCATGGGTAAATATGTTTATTGATAACCTTTGTTTGTACAGACTTTAAATAGAAAAGCATTTTTCCACTTTCTGTAGACTTTCACTCAAACATATGAATACCCAGCGAATCAGCTGCGGAAGTCCGGCTCGCCAACCATGCAGAGTAGAAGAGGTTCATACACAGACAGGGCACAAGGTTTTGCAATTATCCAGCACAAAAGAGCCTTTGGTACAGCAAGAGGTGCAACATTGTGGAATAGCCTTCGTATTAATATAGAACTGTGGATTTAACTATGTGTAACACAGAATTAACCTGGAAATCACAAATTGCAGCAAGTGCCTGCTCCAAAAAAAAAGTCACAGTATTTATATGGACTGAACTGAAACGCATGATAATTCTGCCCAAGACTGAAAGCAAAGTGTTGGCAGAAGTCTGAGAGTCTGATTAGCTATGAAACAGGTTGTTCACTGTGTAAACTGCTTCTTTTACTACCATGTAATGCTGAACATAGTAGTCGGTCAGGTCAGTTTTGGATATAGTTCTAATGCCAGCTTTAGTGAAATAAATGTGTGATTCTAACCCAGGAGATTTTGGAGAATCCCAATTGCACCCAACAACGTATTTTCTAACTGTGGGTGAATTATGCTTCAAACAAGGAAGGTAGTGTTACTGCAGGTGCGTTAAAAAAAATAAAAAGCAAGCCATAAACATACATTGTGCATATACTGTTAAAGCAGGATCCCTATTCCAAAAGAAGTATCCTCCAATATTATCTGTGACACTTAAAACGTGAACCTGCACTTACATTAATGTGGCCAAAGTACAGCAAGCTCCTAAAGCAGCACAGGTGCCTGAAAACCCAAGGCACTTCATCATTCAAACAGTGACTTTAGTTCCAAAGTTTGCCTTGTGTACCTTACCATTGGTTCCATAACATGATGCATGGGCTTGCTGACCAATACAGAGGTGCAGCAAACAAACATATACCAAGTGTACATGTAGCAGGCATATGCAGTTGCTGTATATGAACACAAACTTATTTTTTGTCTTCATGCTCCTTCAGCTCCTTTTAAAAATGGCCACCTCTGTGTTTTGCAAGCAGTCTGTGTAAATTAACACTCCCTCTGAGCTCTCTCCCTATTCATTAGTATTCATAGTGGGAACTCCCCCTGGACAGTGTATTGTGACCTGGAAAGGCAGAGCTGGTGTAGAGTGATCTTGTAACAATGACTCACAGGGAAGGGGCAGCTGTTTACAGCCTGCTTTACAATCCGACCTCAATGTCAGACTGAGTTTCCTGTGGAGAAAATGTTCAATTTGTAGGACCCAGGCCTACTTAAGTAAGCCTGCAATCTGAGTCATGACAAATGTACACACATACACACCATCATTGCCCTCTACATTACCACAATATTTGCTAATCACATACAAAAGGTGGAAATGAGCTTAAAGGCTGTATCTACATAAGTGAATGGTCCAGGTTTCAAAGCTCCCAGGACAAGCGGTAAGATATCTAGGGGTGCTTTCTTACCCTTGGTAGCAGGATCCTTAAAGTTAGCACAGGTTGACCTTAAAGTGGCATATACCAAGAGGGTAGGCCAAGATGTCAGAGCAGATTAGGACATACTAATACAGACTCTTCGCAGACATCAGTGCACACCAGTCTGCTCGTACAGAATATTAACAGGTCATACTGTCCCGATCTAAAAAGATGAGTTGAAATAATTAGTGTAATTTATAAGATTACCACTTGATTCCACTGTAGTCCTACCTGGAGGTCTTCCAAAAATGAGCGAACCATAGATTCCAAGGAATGGAATTTGACCACATTTAGAAAATGGGGGACATAAAAAAAAAAAAAACTAGCAAAGGATAAAACTAGGGCAATTTCTGCATTTGTTTAATTTTCCTTAACTGAGCTTTACAAAACAATGTTTGCCAAGCAAATATGTAACAAAATAAAAAATGTGTAAACCTAAAAAGCCACAAATAAATGCAGCCCATGTAATTACTTGGTTCTGACTTAGTATCAGCCTCTCGTAATCTCTTGTACAGCAGGACTTAAAAAAGCACTAGGAGCCAATCAGATGTGCTGCATGCACATGTGCCGACAGTGGGAGAGAATATTGTTAGCAGAAAGTTAAGCTGCTCCACTGTCCAATCACAGGCTGGGGACAGGGAGGTGACCTAGCTCTATTGCTTATCTGCAACAGAGAAAAGCCAGGCCCCCCCAGTCTGGCAGGCCTGTGTAAAACTCCAAACTGGATAAAAAGAAATATACAATGGTGCCTCGGTTCACGAACGCTTCTGTTCGCAAACAATTCGGTTTGCAAACAGGAAGTTCTGCAAAATTTTGCTTCTGCATCGGGTGACGGACACAACCGCAGCCATCTGCCCTGACACATGGACGTGGCTTCCTCTAGTCGAGATCGCGGTCTGATCACAGTTTGATTCGGTTCACGACCTATTTGGCTCCCGACCAGAATCGTGGAACGAATTAAGTTTGTGAACGTTAGCGTACATAATATACATTTCATCTGTGTATTTTAGCCATCTGCTTGGAGGTCATTTTAAAGAAAACTGCAGCCAGTGCCCTGTTTCAATCCTGTGCTCTTTTTGTAAATGTCCCAAGTATTTATTACATCACGCTCTCACCACATAGTTCATAGATCAGTGCAGTCAACTAGCAGCTCACACAAAAAATTATCTTGCACCATAGTTTACTTTTGAACAGAATTGAACAATTATGCAAATAAGAAATCATTGTGACATTTTCCTATTGATAGCAAAACTTTCTTCAATCAGCTGTAAAACACGAAATACTCATTCAACACCAGTATGGCACCATTTTTTGCTTAATGTGCACTTTATCCCACATCAAAGCTTCAAACCCAATTGAAAAATCTAATAAACTTTCTCAATATACATTAGGCACCTGCCCCCAAAAAAGGCATTTGGAATTAAGCAACTTGTAAGAGAATCAGAAATGGTATACAGAGTAAAAGCTATACAGTGAAAAACTACTCATTTATATCCCAGCTGTTGTCACAAAGTCTCTAAGGAAGGGAACGGCGGAGCTTCCCAAGTTATCCGCAAGGCTTCACAAGTCCCGCTACATGAATAGCATTCAGAAGCATTACAGGATAATGCACTTCCCACCTCTGAGGAGTCACCTGATGAATGCCAGTTTCAGGCATAAAAGATGAGCACTTGCATCCTTTTTTTGGAATGTTTTAGGGTCTGAATGAGGATGCAATCTGCAAAGCTAACTAACCCCAAATGGAATATTGGGTTTGCATTCTTTCACCTGTATCTAGGACACTTTGAAGGCCAACGATGTGCAAAGCAGTCAAAAATTTACCAGAGAAGATCTGTGCTACTCAATGCACGGTGCAGATTTTTACTTGAGGACTGGTTCTGAGATTTATTACAAGTGCTCCAAACCAAACGGATACATTTCAAATGGTACACAGCTGAACCATTAAAAGAGCTAAGCATAGGGGAATGACCCCAATGCTTAGGTATGCTGAAGAATACATGATGCAAATCCATAAGGTTTGTTCCATATGTGGTACCCTGTAAATCTTTCACTGGCCTGGTCTTAAGTGACATATTCCACATGGTGGGCAGTTGATTTTTGAGGAGTCTAAGATTTCAGTTTAGACCGTGTTCGCAGTGCCATTGTGAGTCACTGCATTAAGGTTGGGACTGCTGGCTTGATGGCTGAAGGTCCTGTGCGTGGCAGCTCCTACCTCAAATACCTCATGAATGGCTTTTCGAAAGCAGTGAAAATTGTAGTCTATTAAACCTACAGGGAAAAGCAACAATTAATGGTCGAGTGTGAAGTAAACAATACACAACTGTGAGAGATTTTGACATCTCACCTTAATATACATTAGTATACTTTTGACAAGTCATATTAACAAACATTACATTTATACTGGAAATGTGAAATTATTATTGGAACATTTTTTTATTGACCCTTGTAGTGGGCCCCCCCCCTCACTGCAAGGATTAAGTGCTCATTTTTCGACTAGGTTCAAAAATAAAGTTATATACTCACCCGAAGCTCCAAGCAGGCCGGTTGTCCCAGAACTCCCTCTAGTCCGTCTCCTCCTACACTGCACCAAAACGGTTATACTCAACCGAACTGCCGAGCCAGTTCTCTGGTTACTTAAGTCTGTCTCCTCTTCCACTGCAGCACTGGGTTGTTCCTCGGTGTACTCAAGCCTATACACTGTGTATAGAATGTGATGATTTACGGGTCCTTAGACTGCTGCAGTGGAGGGGAAGAGAAGCTGGAAGGACTGGTATAAGAGCATGCTGGCGCCATGGTTCAGGTGAGTCGAACTTCTTTTTTTTTTTAAACTAGAAAAAAAACGATCAGTTAACCATTGCACTGTAGGTATAGCCCCACTGCAAGGGCTAATATATTAAAGATGAACAAAAGAAAAAAATGTAAGCCTTGCAAACATTCTTCTCTATTATATCCTCATGCACCACTAACCACTCATTTTCTAACTCTTTACAGAGACAACTCTTTTACATTTCTGATAGAAATTGTGTTTGGTTCCATTTTTTGTGTGTCCCCTTTGGAGAGATGTCACTTATGAATAGCTCCTACCTGCAAGTCTGTAACGCAAGACTTGCTAAAGAACAAGTGTACTTTCATTATAATACAGCTAAATGTACTCAATGGGCACTCCTCTACAATTTCTATTTTAGAGATGTCTTTTTTTGTGCCAGTCATTTTCCTCTCATTACCCAGTGTGTCCTCTGGGGAGATGAACATAGCTTTCTCAGGACTTACTTTCCATGGTGCAACTCCTCCTCTCCTCCATACAGCACAATGTCCCCGTTCCACAAACCACTCTAGAGAGCAGTGTACTGTGCACTTGTTGGACACACTGCAGCAGAGTTACAGACTGCTCTGGTCTTGTACGGCTCAAGAATAGAAAGTCAAAGTGTCCGCAGATTAAATACTAAATTACTGCTGCTGGACACGGATGCCGACATCCAGCAGCAATTAGCAAGCAGTTTCTGCTAAGAAATGGAGACCCGTTTCAAGAAGTTGGCAGAGGGGACAGCGAGTGAGAAGAGTAGGAGAGACAGGGAGGAGAGAGCGGAATGAGATTACTGGATGGGACATTTATTGGAAGCAGAGGAGGTGACAGACAGACATTAAGATTAAAAGGAGGGAAAAGGGATGTGAAATGAAGGTGTAAAGCAGAGGAGGGCTGCAAGGAAATTTTGGGAAGGAGAAACTGCACACTTGACTTTTTTTGGGGGGGTTCCTGAGATTTTCACCGTAGCCTTGGAAAACCTAAACAAAGCTCAGTCCTGTCACAGATATTATTAAAATGGCTATTCATTACGCTCACCTTTTCGTTCAAAGCTTTCTTCTCTGAGAATACAGACGAGCGATAGAAACTTTGTCACTTCTTTTAAATAGAGTACTGTTGTGTTGTTCAGCTTGATAATTGCCATGGACTCCTTGTCATATGCAGTCCCATTACATTCAGCATGCAAACTGTGTAAACATTAACTTGATCAGTTAAGCAAGATTAGGTAAACAGATTAAAAAGGCTACCCACCTAAAAATGGGTCTACAATACCAAAGCATGGATTTATTGCACATGTAGAAATTGCTCAGCACCACCAGGAGAGAACACCCTACCTGCAGCTAAAGGTGCTGCTCTGCCACTGTAAGCACCAACCACTCCAGACCCCACGTCTTTTTGTATGACCAGTTCTGGGCCAATGATATTGCACAAGCACCAGTGACTAATCAATTTTATCAATATTAATTCAGCGCAGGCAAAGGCAAATTTTTCTGGTTGTCCAGCCGTGTGTGTGTGTGTGTTCTCCTACTCCCGATGTGCAGGGTGATACCACATATGTGTGCATGTTGTTGGTACCTGTAGTGAGGACCAGAAACCGTGCGCATTTTGTCTTCCTGGACTTCCAGATGGTGTGACAACTGATTAGATGTCACAGTCTTCACCAGATCCAGAGCTCGTCTTATGATCATCACTGACTGGGAGCCTTAGGTGACAGCGATGTCACTGTGCTGAGGGCTAGCGACTAAGCTTCCGGCACAAAAGAGCAACATGGAATAAAACCCACTCCATGCTGTCACATATATGTGTGCAGCCAGAAGGAAGTGGTTAAATAAAAACCTTTCATAAGTAAAACAGGGGCTTCCACTGCCATAGCACTTATAGAGAGGCTAGTATCCTGGATGTCATACAAGCTCTGGTTTCAGTACTTTTGGAATCACCGCAATAAACCTGCCAGGCGTTCTAATGCGTTCTTGCTCAACCCAAAAGTAAAAATAGTTACATACACTTTAAGTCAATATCAGTCAGGCAACTAGAAGTTTCAGAAATGGAAGCCCCACATACCTGTCATAACTAGGGATGCACCGATACAAGTACCGGTGTCGATACCAAGCATTTGGGCGAGTACTCACCCAAACGCTCCTGATGCCGGAACTTTCAGTATCAGAAAGCCAGGCGGCATGTTCTAAATTGGCCTGAGAAGCCGACTCCATGCTCCCTTGTCACCTGGTGGAGCCGACTTTCGTCATGGAGCAGACTTTCTGGCCAATCAGGAAGCCAGGGGGTGGGTAATGAGTTGCCACCTGGCTTACTGACTGTCCAGAAAGTCGGCTCCATGACAAAAGTTGGCTTCTCAGGCCAATCAAGAACACGCCACCCAGCTTGGGAAGCTGGGTGGCGAGTCGTTACACGACGCCCCACTTCCTTAATGAGACTTCCAGTATCGGTATCAGCAAGTACCAAAAAAAAAAAAAAAAAAGCTGTCAAATTGAAGATTCATCCTATTTCTGTCCTGGGGACAACAGTCATGACAGAGATTATTTTCCCACTCCTTCTAAAATGTTTTGTTTGTCTAAGTCCGACAATTAGAAGTAAGCAAGGTAATCACTAAGATTTCTCTCCGCTACCAAACACCTTTGCTAGTGACACCTAAGCTATTAATGTTTCCATTGTTACATTAATACATAATAATTTAGCAGAGCATGAAACAGTGGACATGCATTGCCCAACCCCACATCTTCATTTGAGGCAAATGGTACCTTACCGGAAAGGCAGCAATTAGAAAGGGCAGGAAGATTAACTTATTAACCTAAACTTATTAACCTAAACTGAGATTACTATCCACATTAAAACTATACCCAAATTGCTGGACAGAGCACAGCACAGCACATCATTCTAAAGGATAAACGAAAACTTACATGCAATATAGTTACCTGTATATACATGAAACATCTATTACTACATCTATCATATCGCAGCACAGCTCATACGACTGCATATCTACAGGAGAACTGTCTGTGGCAATGTAGATTTTACTGACCACATCAAACAAGAAGGCCTTTTCAATGCCTGAATTCTGAAAAAGAGAAAGCAGAAACAGATTAATCTGGTGGAAATAACATTTAAAAGGCGAATACAGAAAGTGCAAATCAGTTGTAGAGGAAGTGGCACTGATTGAGAGATGCCGGCCGAAAGGGTGCCAACAGCAGCAACCACTGTGCGAATCTCCTTCAGAGTATTGATCATTTCTACCACCTGTGTTCTTCACCCCACTCTCCCCAAGTGTCAAAGATTACCCTGCACTCTAAAGCTGGCCATACTTTATGGAGATTCACACAGTGGGTGCTGCTGTTGGCACCCTTTCGGCCGGCATCTCTCAATCAGCTGATCGAAAGAGCAGATCGGAAAATGTTTGAACGAACAGAGCCAGCAGCCAATGAGCTGCTGGCTATGTGCAGATATTCCGACAGCAGCTGGTGGCTGCTATCAGAATACAAAAGGAACAGCAGAGATTCCTCGATCAACACACCCACAGCGTTGGAGCAATCTGTTCTATTTTTTTTTTGTTCAGCCCGCAAGTTGTACAAAAGAAATACCGGTAGAACAGTGCATGGCCAGCTTAAGATCAGGGCTAGAAAGCTGTATTGGGAAGGAGTGAGTGGAATTTACATTCCACACTTAACTTCCTCCATTATCATACATCAATGAGTTATTTGACTTCACAGCAGATTGTCCCATGAAAAAATAACCGTTAAAAACAATCTGTTTTTAGGTTTAGCAGCCCTTTAAACATATTAACATGTCTGCTTTATAAAGATCTGCTTATTTCTCACAAGCCAGGAATCACAAGTGATCTTCAAGTCACATGTCTCTGAAACAGACATTCTGAGTAATATACTTCATGCATGCTTTGCAGATGTTGAAACTCTGAACTTCAGCTTTTTTTTTTTTTGCATTTGTACATTTCCCCTAAATAGTCCTAACATAACCAATGTTACACGCAGGAAAAGTCTTGAATGTGAATGTGTTTTATTGCCACCTCTTTACAAGCCAGCATAATAGAATAGAAAACTACTACCTAAAAAGGACATTTTTCACATGTCCCTGTGTGAACTAGGGTGACCAGACCCTAAACGTGTATGTAACACCTAAAGCTATTTTTCAGTATTTTTGGCATGTCTCACTGGATGTACAAACAAATATTTTTTTGGGCAAAGTATTTCATGTTTTTGTACATGGAGATCCTGCCAGTAAAAGCACTTCCAGTCTGACAACAGTAAGGCACTGCCCTGAAATTAGCAGCAGTGTTGTCAGTCATCTGTATTTATCATACAGGCAGCCAAATGATCAACTGAAGGGGTTCATACAGGAAGCTGGCAACACTTTTGCATACTGTAGTGGCTTAAGCCTCGTTCACATGGACAGCCAAGGCAGAAAAAACAGGTAGTTGATCCATGTTTTTACCACTCTTCGGCCATCGGCTAACAAATTAGCGCTGCAGCCAGACAGTGCTATAGGCATTGCCATGGCTGCTATGGTTTGCTTCGTGGTGCAGCAAAAACTAGGACAGCATGTTACTTTCGCCAGGTGACGTGAATAGGACCACACTGCTTGCCAAATACTTGGCCCAGGATTGTTGTGCTGTAGCTCCATGTAACATCTCCCTTGGTATTAAAAAAAAAAAAAAGAAAACCAGGCAGTCAGGAGGCTTCAGTATCACTCCTGAATGCCTAGAAGAGGATGCTCTACCGCCCTCCGAAAAGCAATCCACCGCAGATCGTTTTTTTAGAGCAGCAGTAAAGTCCCCCAGCCATGTGAACAAGGCCTTAGTGTTGTCAACCTACAACAAAAGACCGATACTGGCAGGATCTACTTATCTACAGATTCACCAAAATGGATTTGCTTAAAAAGGAACAGTATAGAATGAAACCAAAACAAAGTGAAATATAGATTTTGGGTTTACAAACACTTTAAAAGTAAAAATAGATTGCTCCATAAATCTACACATTTCTTTTGTTCATCATTCTAACCAGCCGCATTTTTTTCTTCACTACAGAGCGGCTGCTTCCTGTATATAATACGCAGTGTATTCTTTTCTACACAAGTACAAACAGGTCTACTGGGAATCCCCATAGCCTATTAATAATCACTGTATGTGTGGGGAGGCACCTATTTTCCACATAAGTTAAACACTTGTAATCCATTGATTTTGCATTTTTCGGTGTCATTACTGAAGTATAGCAAGTGAAACATTTATTTAGGAGAGATTTAGAAGCGTTGACAAAACGTGAAACTCAGGTTGCACGCACAAAAAAAATAAATAAATAGTTAAAGCATTTGATTATCACTGCATTCCCTTATCACCATTCTGTTTATCGGCAGGGCTGCCCAAAAAACAAACACCACGCAGCCTTTTTCATTTACATTCTTTTGCCGTCCACTAAAAATAATAATACCATAAACATGGTCTACAGAGCATATTTAAAGCTCATCAGCAGCCACACCAATAAATGTGTTTTCATATTTTGGACATCAGAGTTATGCTACAAAATGTATTTATGGTAAATTACAAATCACCAAACTTTTTTTTTACGTACAGACGTCTCGTACAGGTGAGCAAGGAAATATCTGTGGCCACTCTGTACAGAAGCACTTTTTTAGTTAGAGGTGGCTGCAATGTTATGTCATTACTTGTCCTGTAGGGAGCAACCACAGTGCCTAGCGTTCGAAAGCTGGCATACACTTAATATTTTCTTCTTTCGACCTGAACGAAGGAAATATAACAGATTCCTCCATCAACGCTGAAGAGCATTGAATGAGGAATCTCCCGCTATTTGCATTGTATTCAGATGGTGGCCGCCAGCCGCTGTCTGGATACTCAAACGGTTTGTTTAAACATTTTTCAGCGGGCTCCTTCGATCAGCTGATCAAGCCAGGCGAAAGGTTGCCAACAGAGGCACCCACTGTGAGAATTTCGGCTTTAACAAGAACCGGCCAAAATTTTCACACTGTATGGCCAGCCTAATAGCAGTGGCCCTAGGAGGAAAATAAACAGTGGCAAATATACCTTAAAAAAAAGAAATCAACTTACAGTGACCAGTAATTTATATAATGGCTAAAATAAAAATTAAGTGCTCTGTGCCACTTTTAGATAAAACACATCAAGCTTGGACATGTCACTTTGTCGGTAGCATCAGCACACACAAGAACACAGAACAGGTGTATGTTGACAATTTGTATGCTGTTTAGTCCAGTGCTGGTAAAGCACTTGGCAAAGCGAGTTTGCAGTTTTTGTTTTCATTCAATTAAGATTTACTACACTATAAGTGATCTCGCTCCTCTTCCTTTTGTGAGCCGTGTTATGATCCATGGGTTACTTTTGGAGCAAGGAGTTGTTTTAAACACATGGAGTTTGATATCGTGTGCCATAAGGGCTTGTTCACACTAGTACTAGCACTGGCACGGTTAGTGGCCAGAACGCACTGGATCGCATAGAGCAAGCCTCCCTGCGTTTTGAGGCAGGAGGGGGCATGGTGGTACCATTCAATTCAAGAGCACCACAGCCACGCCTCTTGCCAATAATGCAATATTTATTTGCAATCGCACCAGAATGCAGGGCATTGCTATACCACACGTTCTGGTGAGGACAATCGTACTGCAGACCGGAGGAGTGTCTGCGGTGCCATTGACGTTAATGCTACCACCACACCCCCTCCCACCCCAGAATGCAGGGAGGCTTACTCTATGCAGTCCAGTGTGTTCCGGCCACTAATCGTGTCAGAACACACTGGATATAGTGTGAACAAGCCATTAGACCTGCTGGTCATTGTAGGTCTGAAAGTTTGGTGACTTAATTTAGGATACATTTCCACAGAGGTGTTGGTTGAATATGTGTGACTATGTAGGAGATTTATTTATTCATAACTGGATGCACTATTGCAGACATTTTTTTTTTTTTAGATTGGTTTTGAATTGTTTTTGCAATGAGGCACTTTATTTATAAACTTTTTTTTTTACACTTTATAAATTGTTTCACTGCAGTTGAAACCAATAGTAGTATAATTTTTGGGTGTTTTAGTGCTGTGTGCGTTTCAAGTTTTTATTGTGATCGTACTAGCACAGTAGCTAATACACTGTTCAGCTATACAAGGTTAGCACTACACACTGAAAACTTAAGTACACCCCATGGAAATTGTTGAGTTTTTCCATAGCTAACAAATGAGATCTTTATTCAAACTGTTACTAAAGACATAGGTAATATACTTCAACAAGTACACAAGAGAAACAATCATTTTCAATCATTTTTTTGGACAAAAATAATCTAATGGTGTACTGTGGAAAAAAGTAACAAGTAACTTTATACAAAGTGTCTAACAAACTGCATAAAACTCCTTAAAGGAGAACTATGGGGTCAGTGTTTTTCCCCATAGTTCTCCTTAGGGTAACGGGAGGACACAAACTAGCGTCCTCCCGTTACCCTAAGCTCAGTATACTGCGAGCTACAGCTCTCGGTATACTGAGACGCCGCAGCCAGAGCGGATCCCGACTTAGACGACGGGATCCGCCCAGCTGCGTGAGTGACAGCTGGCTCTGCCTATCTAGAGACAGAGCCAGCTGTACCCGCCCCCTCCCCTGTCCGTTCCGCCAGTCAGCGCTGGCAGATCGGAGCGGGGAGAGGAATCCAGCCCTTCCCCCCGTCACAGCAGAGAGCCGTGACAGGATCGAAAGGTGAGCGAACCCGGTATGTGTTCGCTCACCTCCCGATCTACTGAGCCGACCTGTGACAGTCTCATTGACAAGTTTGTATGCAGGTAGAATGTATCAATTAACTAGTAAACCGATCTGCCTAAAGATCTGACACTTAACTGCTACTATTTGGCTACAACATTGCATTGAGGCATTTCATGCACTTTGTTAGTGGACAATTTGTATAAAAAGTAAATACCTTTGTGGTCCACGCTTGGACCCAAATATTTCAGTGGAATTCTGTGGTCGCAGCAGATACCAGTGAAAAATATATAGATTTTATTTTTTTCAATCTCACTTAACTATAAGCGCTGCTACTTGTGTGTTTTACTATTTGAAGCAAGGTCTAAATGTTTGCTTGTTCAAAATGTTGAAGAAAAAAAAAAAAAAAAATCAACAAATTTCTACATAGGGTGTATTTATTTTTACACATGACTGTATAGATATAGGTTTCCTCTAAACATTAGACTGAGCCGTGAGTATTGAAAATTGTTTGAGAAGACAATTATTTTCTTACTGTGTTGTGCAAAGCAAACGATCAGCATTTCTCCATATATCTAGTAATTTTAGTTCTCTCCCTGTGTTGCCTATAGCAACCAATCAGTATTTTTCTTTTACTATGTTTTCCACAGTAATCAAAGCATGTTATTTTTTTTTATTTTTTTTAGATATCTTCACCCTTGTATTTATTTTGTTTTATGCTTTTATTGTGATGTTATTAGAACAGCAGCTGATAGATTGTTCAGAGAGATTGTTCAAAGATTAGCAGAGAAAAAGAATAGCACAGTGCAGGGACCAATTCCTGAACAGAAATTGTGGCCAGTAATTGGTAAAGAATTACCATGGGGGTCATATTTAAAAAAAAATTGTAGCTCAGCTGCATATCATAGCATTTTCTAGATGGCTATGTGAATGTTCCCCTTTGAAATTAGGTACTTGTAAAATATTTTAAAACACAAAATAAATAAACTGATGGTTCTGACTGCTGGTACTTTTCACTTTCGGTATCTATAGCCTACAAGTTTTGCCTGGCAGTAAGAAAGAAAGACTGCAATTTTGTTTTATAAAGTTTTCTAAGTTTACATTTTAAATACAGTACATAATTATTACACACACACACACACACACACAATAAAAGGGCCTCTGTTATAACACATTATGTCAAATTTCTCAACTCTTTATGTTCCCATAAAGATAAACAGATAAACACACATATGGAAGTGCCTAACCTGCCAAAAGATTTGTAATTCTGTCCAGCCAAATTTGTTATTCATACACCATTGCTAGTTAGCACAGCAAAGAGGGTGACACTAAGATGTTACCGCTCCACCCACAGCTTGCCGATAGGACAAATTAAGAAGGAGCAAAACACTGACATTTGCTCTGCTCTCTCTTCATGTCTGCACCATATCTGGAACAGATCAGCAAATGCAGTGCATTTTGACGCAATTTTTTGTAGCTTAAAAAATGGGCTTTTAGGTGCAGTTCAGAGCGTTCCAATGTGTTTATTCGTTTCTATGCATTCCAGACCAGAGAAAATGAGACAAGCAGTATTTTTTTTTTGCCTGGACCGGAATGGACTGCACTGGTGTGAACAGAGCCCAGAAATACCATTGGGATGCTTTTTGGTCCGGGAACAAACTGTTCTGGCCTGGACATGGTGTGAACAAGTCCTTAGCCTGTTACATGTCAGCAGATGAAGCCGAGCCTCATTGGCTCCAGTCTGTTCTACTATGCAGGGGATAACAGGAAACTGATTTCAATACACTCAGGTATGGATACTAGCTGTATATAAAAGACACATTCTTGAAGAAATACAAGACAGCATAAAAAAAAGTGTGCTTTCATGTCTGTAGTTCAGAATTAATGTATTCTAAGAGCAATTCTGTTACGCACTAGGAGGTACACAAATCTCACTTGTAAGTGCTAAAGGACAGGATGGCCTAATCACACCCCTAATTAAAATAACACTTTGATAAGGCCTGGGTCATCTAAATGGTACCTCACGCAGAGGTAACAAACCCCTTTCACTGAGGCTATCTGCCCTATGTGACCACTTATGATTTGTAAACATCACAGACTGCAAATCAGAGTTTTGCTTATGTAATAATAAACACCACAGTGATGGATAATACAAGAACGTAGACAAAATGCTTTATCTTCTAAATACCGGTCACAGTTTAACATCGTTTCGACATTTACCTTCCCCAGTTCTACACATAATAAAAGGGAAAAATGTTGACTCATTATGGAGAACAATTACTTTTAAAAAGATCAACAAGGATGCATTTGCACTACAACACACATTTTACTATTCCTTAAAGCAATGCAGGAATATACGTGCATTGTGATGCGCTGGCATTTGTTTTGAATGGCACCCCAATGCAAAAACAAAAAGACACACCTGCACTATAGCCAACCACAACGCACAGATGTGAATGCTCTGTGTGTTGTAGTGAGTACAGTGCCAAAAATAGAACAGGTGTCTTTTTTATGCACAGAAGTGCATTAAAAGCACATTCAAAATGAAGGAGCTGCTTTAGCCACAAAATCCACAAAAAAACACATTAAAACTAGACCCACCAATTGAATGCCTCCCAAAGACAGTTCATTTCAAGGGAAACCAACTGTCCCGGTTGCCAGCGTGTTTATTTCAGCTCTCAATCCAACTTTCAAGCCGTCAAATGGCTGGTGTCATAGCTGATCACATGTGCAGCACCATGGCAACTGCAATCCAAATAGAGGTGAAGATGGAAACCTTCCTTGGTTATAAGAGATAGGAGGTCATAGTTCTGCTTTAACACATTGTTTTGCATTTGGGACAAGAAAACTATTGAAAAGTATTTACCGTTACTGGAAAGCTAAAATATAGTAGCAAACCTGAAATAAGAGATACTTACAGATATAAAAATATTTAGCAAGTTCTCTAAAGTTGGCAACTGTGGAATAAGTTTCTGCACAACTTTACTGAATGCCTCAAAGATAGAGTGGTCATAAATACTTGTCAAGTAGAAGCTGTAAGAAAACAAAAAAACACACATAAAAGTAAAAGGTGTAAAAAACAAAAGTAGAAGTGGATTATTCAGCATGCAGTATCCTTGTATCTGTGTGCATTGCCTGCCCTAACCACTAGACTGTATTCTGATCATCTGTGTTCATTGCCTGCACTGACCTTTGTCCTGGCCATTCATGTCTGCTGCCTGCCCTGATCTCAGGCTTTTTTCCTGGTAATCTGGGTGCACAGTCTGTGCAGACATCGTGGTGACCCACTCCGCTCTATTCTAACCTTCAGTACACTCACCTGCTGCAGCCCTACATCCAGGTCTATTCCAGAATCGTGTTGTCCGTGGTACATAGAGCAGGGTGAACCCGGGTGTCGCTGATGAATACAGCTGACCCTTAGACTCCACACCCTGGGGGATCCCACATCACCTGCTCTCACGTGACCCATCTTAGAATACACTGGTAAGTTCTGGCGCAGGTTACAGGTCTAATCTGTACCGCCGGAGTGTTCCAGCATGGGTCCAATCCCAAAGTTCCAGCTCCAAGGTCTTACTTGCTCCAGCGTGATCCTATGTGAGCCGTTTCACAAATTCAGTATCCAGGTCTCATCTGTTCCATGGTACTTCACCCAAGCAACAGTCAGCTTTTGGCCTCCCCTTGGGTATACCATAGAGTGTAGGTAGAGAGATCACATTAGCTTAGGTTCAGACTGCTACTATGTTTAGACTGGTTATAGATATACCAGTAGTAATGGATTTTTAGCAAAACAAACATAAATATAGCAAGCATTCAAACCTGTAATATACAAATATAAAATGACCCTTTTTTTTTATTATTTTAGTTTAATACCTATGAGAACATTCAAAAGGGTCTTATTCACACAGGCCTGCTTCAGGGCAGCTGCGCACTGTATTGAAAATACATGGGAGAACTGTACAATTTCAATCAATCTACGCAGTTACATTCTAGGCACTTTTGAAACCTTCATACATCCAGCACTTTCTGAGCACGGAAGTGCACATACTTGGTTCATGAAAAGAAAGTCAACGCATGATGTCAAAACATATAAAAGTAATCTTTTAAAATGCACGTTTAGCATGTAAACAAGGCCTAATGCATAGAGAAGGAAGCAGAGAAACTCATCACTGTAAAATACCAAATTCCTACCTCAGATGAAGTTTTTCTAGCCCAACATCTGCAAGGTCATCATTAGCTCTCTGATGAATGTCTCTCTGAGTTTCTATCTTATGATCATCTGACAAACCATCTACTTTATGAATAAAAACCTCAAAATTCATATCAGGATTTGCTTTGTAGGCTTTGGTAACTGTCACGTGAAGTCTTGCTAGTGCTTCCATATAGTCATCCTGCAAAAAGAACAGATCAATCGTCATTACCTGCACATACAGTAGTTGCTAAATAAAATGACAACCATCATCTAAACTTGCTCCATCTAGACTTATCCAGCCTATGGCCACATGCCAAAAAAAAAAAAGATTACTACTAGTAAATACATGTATTTCACTAAATTGCTCTAAGACAAAGTCCAGACAGTGCAGTACCTGGTCCCAATACTCAACCTGAAACAGTATAGAGCTCCAAATATGCAGCTGCAGTTTATGAAGCTGGAATTGTGTCACTGGTATTCCAACAATCTTTTACACCACACTGCTTTTGGGGAAGGATTTTATTACTCCCCGTGACATCACCAAGATTTTTTTACTTCTTGCAGGGGCAGCTCCTGAGTGGTCATATCCAATAATGGAGGCATGCCCCAGAACTACATCTCTTATGAAACCCTTTCCCTTCCCACATAGGGTGGACAGGCTTTTGGGAGCAAGGCAACAGCATTGCACTGCTAGTAAAGACATTCATGTATGCATGTGGAGTGGGACAGAGAGGGGTGGGGGGTAGGGGCAGTTCTGTAGTCTAGCAGGCAGGGCCGTGTTGACCGCAGGATCAAAATTGTATTTTTCTCTACTGGCAGCATTTTTAAAAGGGATGGAACATAGGAAATGTGTAAGTATTGCAAAGATGTACTGAATGTACTTTTTTTTTTTTGCTCCAACAAAACACTACATCGTTATGTCAGCTGAAACTCGAGCTAATAAATCTCAGAAGACCACGCACTATCATACATGAGGACTTTTCAGTTCTCACTAGCTTAGGTTCCCATCAGAACAGTGCATGTACAGACATGACATGTACAGAAATCACTTCCATAATATTTGTAAATACAAAAAAGTAATAACTCAGAATGTCCTTTTTATAATTATTTCCCATTTTAGAATGGACAACTCATCATTTTGTTCATGTAAAGAGTTAAAAAAGACAATCACCTGTGCATCAATTACATAAATTAATGCTCCTGTCCCTCTGAAGATCATTTCATAATCAAAGGTGGGGTCAAAAAAGTCCACTTGTCCTGGAAAGTCCCAGATTTGAAAATTGACAAAAGAACTATTAGAAATGTCATCTTTGTAGATCTTGTTGGTGCTCTCCAAGAATAAAGTTTCATTTGGTGACATCTTGTGAAACACAACCTGGAGAACAAACAAAATAGATTGTTAAATTATACCAAAACAAATGACAAAATTAAAATAGCATTATTTTTAGTTGCCATTCATAAGCCCATTAAGATCCCAGTCTTTAATTAATTGTTCTACTCCCTAGTGGCCCAAGTAAAGAGTTGTTGAAGTTCATAAATCTAGAAAGGTTTACAAAAGGTTTTAAAACCAAGGCCCCAATCAGAATAGTCAGGAAGATAGTTGTTAAATAAAACTCAGCACCATTGCTTGTGCGTTACTAACATGCAATACTCAAACAATAAAGAATGCTAGGGTGACAGAAAAAGATCTGCAGAAGTCACTTGATAACATCTATGTTCATACGTACATAAGAAAACAAAGAACAAACCAAGAATGGTGCCGATAAAAAATTATCACAGACACATTTACAGATCACCTAGATGTCCCAGGGCTATCCTGTAAAAATGTCATGTGGACACAGAAGCTACACTATTGTGTAAATGTACATAGTTTTTTTAGCGAATAAAATTTATCAAATAGCAAAACCTCATCCTAACAGTGGTACATGAAGTGAAACTTCTATGCTGCACCTAACTAGAATGGTTTGCAACTGCAGATTTAAATATTGTGGCATGATCTGTAGAAAGCCATTCAAACAAGGCCTGCTACAAACCCTAAAAGATAGATATAAACTGGAACATGTTTGAATATTTTTTAACAGTTGCAGTGCAGAGGGCAGACTGTGGTCTGTGGACGTAAAACATGCCTCAGAGTTGCTGTCCAATGGTTAGTGGTCTGGTAATGGCGACAGTGGTAGGAATAGTGCCCCGTCGTTGGTGTCAGTGGAAGGAATAGCGCCCCGTCGTTGGTGTCCGTGGAAGGAATAGCGCCCCATTGTTGGCGTCCGTGGAAGGAATAGTGCCCCGTCGTTGGCGTCCGTGGAAGGAATAGTGCCCCATCGTTGGTGTCCGTGGAAGGAATAGTGCCCCATCGTTGGTGTCCGTGGAAGGAATAGTGCCCCATCGTTGGTATCAATGGGAAGAATTGTGCCCCATTATTGGTGTCATTGGGAGGGTGCCTTAAGGGCCAGGTAATTATAACCAAAGGGTTCCATCTGGCCTTCAGGGAGTAGTTTGGAGACCACTGCTGTAGAAATAAGACAAGCACCTACCAGATTGCAAATAGATGTTAAAAAATGTCCTAAAATTAGATTAGTATAACTCACACACAAAAAAAAAAAAAAACACCTTGAAATGGCAGGCAGGCAAAAAAATTATTTCCTTCCAGAGACTTATGCCAGCGTCGACGCAGAAGACTGCAACACTTGCACTGGCAAAAAATAAAAACCTGACAACAGCATAACATAACCAAAATCAATTGCTGCTAAAAGAACCAAATCAGGTAGTAATGAAATTGTGCAAGATTAAAGAACATTAACCAAATCACTACAATTACGCATATAGTAGTACAGGCACTATGACTAATACCAACAGTACACAAGTAGGAAATGCTTTACGAGGAAAACCATACCAACACAATATTTTTCGGGTCGGATGCAGACTTTTTTTTTTCTGAGCTTTCAGATGCTGAATAATTGTCAGGTCATTTGTTTCACAGGTACAACCATAATGCAACAAAGTGCCCCATGGGTCTCTTAGCATTTATCTACGCAGGACAATATGCAGCTCAAGCCAACTCAATTGGTACACAAATGCTTTTAGTCTAAAGCTAAAAATATCCACAGATGAGGATTTTATTCCCTAGTACAAACTCTCTGCCAAAATGTAATGAATATTTAAGGAACGCCAGGTAAAATTATTATTAACCTTTGCAGTCAGGCTACCTTTAAAAAAAGTGGTTTAAACATACTTGTGTCTTCCCCGCGCGCTCCCGTCCGAAAATCTGAAAGTTCTCGGGTGGCCGCAAAGCATCTTGGAGCGGGCGCATGCGCAGTTCACATTTTCGGCCGGGAGAAGAGGAGAGACGCAAGGTAAGTATATGGACGGCATGCATCCGCATGCAGACACCGTGGGACAGAAAGTACCAGCAAGGACAGAGGAGTCAGCGCTGGATCGGAGAGCCGCCGCACCGCTGAAGGGACAGATGAAAACGTCAGGTAAGAAGAAGAAGATCGGATTAAGAGACATCATTTAAGGTAAGTGCTGATATTAACATTGGGGGGAGGGAAAAAACTGTTTGGCTTTAATGTCACTTTAATAATAATTTCCCCTGGAGTTCTGCTTTAAAGATCATTTTTAATACAGGAAAGCAAGGTATCTAAAACCAAAAGACGGTGGCTGCATTATTTTGGCTATTTTCCTTTATTTGCCTCTTCAATGTTGACCAATGTTCGATAAAATAAAACTATGCTAATGATTTTGCTGGAATGGATAAATAAAGAGTGGTAATAGAACCAATAAACCTATGCGGCCTGCGATGCTAATACTATGTCTGTATACCAAGGCTTGACAGATTTACTTTGAATCTAGGAGCCAGCTAAAAAAGTTAGGAGCCAGGTTTTTTTTTTTTTGTGTAAACTAAAAGTTTAAAAGCTTTATTTTCAACGACAGTTGCAATTTTCAATTACTGTTTTAATTGGCACACGCAGGGATACCTGATATGTGTAGCGCAATTGTCGTTTTCGTACAGAGATGCACCTGACTTTTTTCCATTAGTATGCGCAAACACTCACTGGGCTTTACATTTCTTTTGTGTTTTTGGTATTTATTTTATTTTAATTCTCTCACCAAAACGCAAGTTAAAAGTAAAAGAGCTCCTGCTGCCAGCGCCACCATACATATGCCACTTCATCGACAAGAAACCCCTAGCGAAAGTATTCTCCAGAAACCAACAGTTCCCAGAGAGTTAATCTTAGGGTTCCCCTCCAACTCTCAGTAGATCCTTTCAAAAAAAAAATCCACGTCACTACAGGAAGGTGGTGGTCCTGCATGGTACGTGATGATGTCAGAGTGCGTCCGCTAGCCAGAGCACCTAAGGGAAAAGGCTTCCAGAGCAAGGACCAAGATAATGATGTATCACAGTGGGGGACACCACTGCAAGGCTGTTTTAATTTTTTATTTTTTTTATTCCGTTGTTAAAGAGGAACTTTACCCATAGCTTCAAATAACAAGAAAGGCACCTTTAAAAACGCTTAGTAATGACAAATCTACAAAGATACATATAGATGATTGCAGGTTTTTATTCTTTGCATACCTTATTGTTCTTTTCTTCCCCAGTCTTCTTACAGTGGCCATTTTTACTAAGGGCAGATTACTAGATCTCCCTTTACTTCCTGGAACTCTGGCACGTGTGACTAGGACATGTGACCATGCACATCATCTCAGGGGAGAAAAATGCCTTACCCTGAGATCTCGTGAGATTACAAATGAGATTTCACAGCAATGCTCTGCTGATGTAACCTTCCCCGGATGCAACGCATGGGCACATTACATCATTTGTGTCAAAGTGGACCAGGAAGTGTGAAAATAAGTAAAATAAAAATGTTTATTTAACTAATGAATGTAACATGATTTCATTACAACATGCAAAGCTGTGTATCGATTGTGTGATATTTAGTGAAAGGGGTAAAGATTCACTTTAAGCTTTAATAATTGTATTATTAATGAATAAATTACTTTTATAGAGGGTTGTGTTCAAACCTGACTTGAGTTCAGCTTTTCCGTTTAATAACTCATTATTGAAAACTGAATTACTTCAATAGGATCCAACTGAAGGTGACTTCAAAAATAAAAAAGGAAAATATGTTAAATATTTAGTTATGATGTAAACAGTATATGACCTTGCCCTTAGTTGAAGATTATAAAGTGAGCGTTTGTACAAAACCACTTAAGGCAAGCAGTTGCGCTACAATGCACAGCCACTGATATGTGTTTGAAGTCACAGTGTGGATCCCAGTGCATTGCAATACTTTTTCTTTGTTAGAACTTGATTGAAATGTCGTGAGTGACATTTTATTAGGCTCTATGGGTACAGCATGGTGTAATGTGGTTCTACCAGGTCATAGCCTGCTGTGCTGAAAAAAAAAAAGTACTACATGGGACTGTGCTGGAAAAAACAGCCAGAACCGCCCCAATACATTGGGTGTGTATTGGGTGTAAAGGTTTACAACAAATATTTAACTGGTCAGATGTTTAAATACCTGTTTCCCCCACCACACTCAGTGGTTGCCCTTGCCATCTCTTACCTGTATTGATTTTTGAGCCCATGGACAAAACCATTGCACGCAGTAGGGGAGCAGGTATTCTCACGCACACCAAAACATTTGAATACCCGCAGTAGGCCAGGGAATCGGCATTCTATGCCTCTTTTTTATAGGCATGCAATTTTGCTGTTTTGACCCTGAAGTGGCAGGGTTACTATAATATGCAATGAAAGATGGAATTATAGATAACAAAGGTGTTTTGACTGGAGGCAAAACAGGAGTGGAATGTACAAATGTTATTCTATCCTCAAAGTTATAAGTGGATTTAAAAGTAAAAACAGAAACTGTCACTTTGCACATTCAGATTATATCCAGTCCTTCTGTGTTTGAATGAGCACATAACCTCCCAGGATGATTTGCTTGAGCCTGGGTGGCCAATCGCCAACCCTGATCACTGCAAAGAGGCAGTTAACATCGTGTAAGCACTGGCACAGAATAATGGGCACCTATGTAGAATGAGACCTGCCATACAAACACATCTTTAGTTGGACAACTGAAAGGAAAAACACACACACACACACACACACACACACACACACACTTCACCACAAGGGTCATAACTTTCAAACTCATCTCCAAAGATTTGTATCCCATGTGTTAACACGTTTTAAGTAGGCTTGAAATAGTTTGAAAGCTATGATGTGGCCTGTCATATAGGAGCTCCCATTTGTAAAATCCTACAAACATCACTAGCAAAGCTCTGATCAAACCATACAAATTTTGTAGCATATGACCACCGTCTTCTACTACGCAAACTACAGCAAAGCATAACCTTAAGATCAAGAGGCCTGGA